TATCCCATCATTCCAAGTACATTTTCACCATACTTGAATAGAAAGACACGCACTGGACATCCTTAGACACTAAGCTCAATATAATCAAACTTTGAGGTAAAATTTGGGTATAAAATTAAACAACGCAGAAAAAAAATAAGGATAAAATTAATAAAACAGCAAGACAGTAAGATTAATGAAAAGGATAAGGTATTGGGACAGCATGCTTGTTGAAGTGTTATTGTGGCCTTTAAACTAATATAATATGATGTTTCCTATGCAATAAACAGCCTTGTCTCCAAATTGAGCCTTATGAAGGGTACAAGCTCGTAACCAGACATTACCCACATGTTGATCCAATCATCAAGAAAAAAAAATGAAAATAAATAAATATATAAGAAATACACGAATATTATTAAAAATAAATAAATATAATAACTGTCTATTATTATTATTATTATTATTATTATTATTATTATTATTATTATTATTATTATTGTCACACTGCTCTAAGGTTAAAACTGCATTTTAATATCTTAATTTGACGGACCATAATCGATTGTCTATTATAGTAAAATTTGTGGTACAACTTATTGCGCATGCAGACTATGCCCATGTTGTATTGTTCTTTAATAGCCAGATAAAATAAAGGTGGTCATCTTTTGAAGTTGGAGCAGAAGTTTTTGTGACAATCCCAATGTTTTTATTATGATATAGTCCATATGGGAAATGAGATTATTCATTGTGTTTTCCTGATTATTTTTATTTTCTATAGTGTTTCTATAAAGAAAAAATATAAATTAAAGGATAATGTAAATTAAGATGGAGTTATTTGCATAGTTAGTCATGAATATGGTGTTTCCATATTTTATTTTTGAAAAATGACACAAACTAATGATATGTAGATCTTAGGTGTCTAATGTCAATACAATCGCACATCAGACCTCTATTTCGGTGCAACGAGAAGGAGTTTACTGTAGTCGATGCAGTGAAATTTGTGGAACTAATATTTAAACAAGTTACTTTAAATCTCAAATGTTGTATCTTAAAATATAATATAAATAAAATATGACATTGTATAGGATAATTATATATTTTTTATAATAGAATATGAGCAGAGTGTTACAGCCTCATAGCTACATTTATTACAAACTATATACTGTTAGAAAATTATGCCAACTCGAGTGTAACACACTATTGTCATGTAGATCTAACAATAAAATTTTTGGATAAGAAGATTTAATTTTTAAAACATATAATATATTTTATTTTAATAACTTTTTGTATATATCTTAACTATTGGTGTTGTAATAGTTGTGTATAATACTTGAGTAATACACACAAAAAATATGAAATATTCCTAAATTTGTCAATTTCCTTACAATTTCCAAAATGACTCATTTGGGAAACATTCCTATACTAAAAACTAGTAATCACACCTGTGCGATGCACGGGGATATTATTATCTATACGCTTTTTAAAAGACAATTTTTTATATAAATTGTGTAATAATGCAATGATCATGATCATAAGAATAGACATATAAACATATAATTAAACTGAAAAGATCATATATTATTGAACACTTCTCTATATACGACATTATTTGTTTGATTCTTTGGCACGTCATCTTCGCCACAAATTAAGATTTTTAAACCTTTTCGGTTAGTGACACGGGAGACAACAACATATAATTGGCCATGACTGAACACTGGTTTATTAAGAAATAAGCCAACATGAGATAAGGATTGCCTCTGACTCTTGTTTATAGTCATGGCGTAAGAAACCATAATAGGAAACTGTCGCGCTGGAACTTGAAAGGAATTCTAACATCAGAAGGAGTTATGACCATTCTTGGAATCAACACCTTATCACCAGCATGATCTCCTGTGAGTATCTTACACTCAAGAACGTGAGTGGATAACTTTGTCACAACCCATAGAATGATTCATGTTCCGCAACAACATGACTGGAGTTCCAATCTTCAAATACAACTCATGGTTCGGTATTCCGGAACACTTGATACTATTCAAAAACTCAGGCGTATGGAGATCAGACCAAAAATCATTATTAGAATCCAATTTGCACGTACTGTCAGAGCTCAAGTACATACAACCATCCAACAAATTCAATGATGTCATGTACTCATTGATAGACTCGACCACATCCAACATCGGCGCTAATATAACTCTATCCTTCAAATAACTTGGATCATCGGTTGCCTCTTTATACATTGGATATGTGCTTTCAACGATCTGAGCAATAGGATCATCAGATGGCTGAAGCAAAATGTCCTTGGGTATGTCTATAGCTGCACATCCATCATTCGACCCCCCGATAGTTCCATCTTCGATGTTGGATATCCAATCTGCAAACCGTGCAAGCTCATCACGTTCATCCGAATTAGCAAGTCCCTGAAGGCGCATGTTTTTCGTAAGCCTAAGCACAATACAACTTCTTCATATGTCAGAAGCATTAATGTCAGCATTGACTATGTCCTGACGGCTACCCTTTGGAATGACAGGAAGGATTTGTCGAAAATCTCCACCAAAAACAACCGGCTTCCCACCAAACGGTTTGTTCAAGTTCAAATGATCAATTGCTCCCATAATACCCTGCAACGAGTCTGTACAGCTTCGAAACAATGCTTGTGCATCATTGGTGTTTCATCCCATATTATTAGAGAAGCACGAATTATCAATTCCGCTAGAGGGCTTGACTGATTGATGTTGCAAGTAGATTCCTGGTAGGGATTCAATAGTATAGCAAATCGATAATGCGCTGTTCGTCCACCTGGCAACAAACGCGATACTATTCCGCTGGATGCGGCACATAAGACTATGTCGCCTTTGGATCTCAAACCAGCAGATAAAGTCCTCTACAAGTACGTCTTCCCAGTTCCACCATAACCATACACAAAAAAGAGCCCTCCTTGGCCGAATTCAACAGCGAACATAATTCTTGAGTAGACACTCCTTTGTTCGGTTGTCATTTTCTTAAGAGGCATATCGTGTTCAACAGCGAGGGCCTTTCGATCATAATTCAATTAATCCAAAATTAGACGATTCGATGCATTTAAATTCGTCTCAACAAATTCTCAATCTCAGCAAGGGCCAGGTTCTTGATTTGTTCTTCAGTGAGCATCAAACCTATAAACCAATTATTTGTCACAACCAATCGATGCATTTAAATTTTGAAAAGTTGCACACAATTTTTCCTAGATAATTGAATAAGGTGACTTTAAATATCAAAGATGAACCGCTTTTGTTACCAAAAAATGTGGGCACAATTTCGAATGTACATCCCATCCAAATATCAGTTTTATTTTAAAATAAAAATTGCACATGGTTTTAACCAATTTACACACTTTTTTTGAAAGAAAAAAATATTCATTATGATTGAAAAATTGGTTAGAAATTATACAACTATTTGTTTCGTAAATTTGTATCCATATTGTACGGTTTTTAAATTGATTTGTATTTAGAATTATTTTCATAAATAATTGACACATTTTTTGCATAAGAATATCTAAATTTGTTACCAAAAAAGATATGATTTAAATTTTGGTAAAAAAATAAATATGATACGAAAAAATGGGATTCAAATTTTGCTATAAGAATCTTCAAATTTGTTATAAAAATATGATTCAGATTTTGTTTCTAAAGATTTACATGTATTTTTTGAATTTTCCATCAATAGTAAGTCAAACATTATATTTATTTGGTCTAACTTTTCATTAATGTATTTTTCTAACAAACTCTTTATATATATATAGATAGATATAGATATAGATGTGACACGGAAAAGGGAGGAAGTCAACTATTTATTATAATGCAAATGAGTACTATATCCTTTTAGAGAATGCTAGGATAAAATACAATGTATCATACAAATATAAGAAATTCAATATTTAATAGTCCTTTCCAAATGTGAAAGCATTTTTAGAAATAGCTGAAAAATTCATAAATTATTACTATCTTAATTTGTTTGATTAAAAAGATCACAATTTTCTTTTTCCGCATTTTTATGTGGTTTGGATTAATAGTTATATCTCCATCCTTAACTAGAGACAAAAAAGTTATTTTTTCTTACAAATATTGTTCGTTTCTTTTTGGCACTCAACAAATTAGTTAAAAGTAAAGTTGTTGTTAGAAAGTATTTTTCAATAGATATACATACCTCAAAATAAAATGTAGTATTATATAAAACAACAAAACTTAAAGTATATCTCTCCAAAATATAAATATTTAGTTTTGTTAAAAAATTATAAAGAACCCACTCACACTTAAATTTAAATTTATAAACAGATTTGATAGTGACTAAACAGAATACATATTGAAATAAGTTCGTGTGCAATAGCAATTGAGCAAGACCAAGATGCTTTATATTATAATTTATGTGGTTAGCAGAAAATAAATTTAAAAATAATTATAGTAACACGTCAAATACCATGCATATTTTGTAAAATAATATAAGTCAGCTTATAACTTATTTAACTAATTTATAAAATTATTATATTCAAATAAATTTGATTTGATACAATGAAATTTTTTAAAAGTCGATCCTTATTTAACCAGTCATTTTAGCTTTTCTAAAAGTCAATTGAAAATTTAATTTCACCTAAGATTTCAGTATATCGGTCAGATTTTTAATCTAGAAGCTCGGAACTATTTATAAATCAATTTATTAGTTGTCAATTAGTTTTTCAGTTAAATTTACCGAACATACCTAAAGTATACTTAAAGAAAACTTACTAATAATATTTGGTGGAATAACTAACTATTTTTATCATATTATTTGATGTAAATGAAATGAACTAATTCTATATTTTCAGAAAATATTTTTATAATACCTATGGATTACAAAAATCAAAACAACAAAATCCCCCCCAAAAAAAAAATTGTACCCCATAAATGAAGTGGTCCACACGTGGCAGTCAGGCTAGGTCATTGGGCAGCACTTTTGGCACGTGCCAAAGCCCTTATAAAATGAAACCCCCTCCCTATGTTATTGGCCAAGAGGCAAGATCAAGCTTAAGCAAGAAAAAGTTCCAATTTTTAATTGCTTATTAAGACTTATAAGTTATAATCCTTTTACACAATCTCTCTCTTTTTTTCCTTATATTTCTTCATTCTTGACAGAAAATATGTATATATATACACATTTTTGTTTATATATATATTTTTATCTTTAGGCCTTACATATGCCCATTGCCCACAATACAAAATAGGTAGGTGTACGCAGTTTGAAGCAAGATTCCTCTTTTATTCCAAGTTGTGACCAACATTAGGGAAAAAAGGACAAAATATATAACAAAAGAAGGGCAGTGAGTGAGCAAAGAGGAGAGAGAGAAAGAGAAAATGGAGAGAGATAATGAAGTGAGAGCTTCGAAATTCAAGAGGATTTGTGTTTTTTGTGGGAGCAGTCAGGGCAAAAAAACTAGCTATCAAGAAGCTGCTATTGAGCTGGGCAAAGTTTTGGTAAATCAATAATTTCTTTCTCTATTATTTTATTTTATTTTTTCTTCAAATCTTTATAGGATGGGCTTTATAAGCTCTACTTTCTTGGTTTTCTTTTTCATCACAGTGTATGTAAGCATATGTGTGTTTTTAGTTTTTCCTGACCTTTTTGGTCCCCTTTTTGTGTTGGGCAGTTGATAAGCGTGCTGCGTGCAGGTTATCGAATGGGTTTGTATAAAAATATTGTCTTTGCGTCTTTTTTGACTCTTTGGTTCGACTTTTTACCCTGTTAGGTTGATTGATTGAATATTTTGACTGATTCTGTACATTCCCTCTTCATTAACATGCAAGTGCTCTGTTTTCCAGTAAGTTCAAGGCAAAGTATTGCATCTCTCTCTCTCTCTCTCTCTCTCTCTCGCATTAGGAACAAAAAAGATTGCAAATTTTTCCCTTTTTTTTTTCCATTCTACGTGCTTACTTATGAACTGAAAAGGCCTTTTTTTTTCTGAAATTTGAATCATTGGATGTTATAAAGTACTATTTTGCTGTACTCTCTCTGTTTTACTATGGTTTATTTTGTTATCAAAGGTTAAAAAATGGGGGCAAAAAGTTCAAATCCATCTGCCCACTTGGGAAACACTACTGTTCTAAATTTATTTCAGTGTAATGAATTATAGGGTTTTGTGTGTTTATTAAGGTTTCAAGAAATATTGATTTGGTCTATGGAGGAGGTAGCATAGGCTTGATGGGTTTAGTTTCTCAAGCTGTTCATGATGGCGGTCGGCATGTTATAGGGTGAGTTTTCTTTAAATATTTTTGAATAAAAAAAAGAACTTTAAATGATTAGTATACAAGTTTAAAATGTTGTGAATGGTTAGCTTTTGTTTAAGTTCTCATTGAAACCCTTTTTTTATTAAAGTTCTTTTTTCTTTCTTTTGTCATGTATTGTATGCAGGGTGATCCCCAAGACGCTCATGCCTAGAGAGGTAAATGCTGTTGTGCAGTGGCCAAGTGCAATGTGTTTCAAAAAGTCTTGGCCATTTGTTTTTTCTACTATATTCTTGAAGAAATTGAAAACCCCACCACGAAATTATTTCACTCTTTCTTTTCTCTATACTTTTTTTTTTCTTGCTCATTGTGTCATTGCATAGTTTATTCTTGTTAAGGTATATTCTTAGGCTGTTTCCTTTGCCTGCCTTTACCATCTTTAATGTCATGTCTTTTACTTCTCTTTTTCTCCTCACTCATTTTGTAGGCCTTAACATGTAGCAAATTTCTTTAATTCTTCCCAAATTTTCAATATTTTTAAACTGAATTGTTGAAACAAGTATGTGAACTGTTTTTTCTTTGTTCCTTTTTTAATTTTTATTGGTTTGTGGTATTTGAATCCATAAAATGGAATTTTCATTGTTTCTTGTTTGGTCCCTTTTGCATAACCTTGTTTGGTCCCTTTTGCATAACCTTATCCACAAGATAAAGAACATATGAGGTGGTGGTCATTTCAGTACAAAAATGTTTGAGTTTTTTTGGTCTGCTCTGATTTTCCCTTTTTCAGTTCCACCTCTCTCTTTACTTTGTGCTCTGCTCTGCATCTGCTACTAGCACTATTTCTTGTATTTTTCTCCCTTGGCCTTTTCTGCAATTAGTAGTTTTCATTTTTTTGTTTAACAAACACTATTCAAGTTTATTTTCTTTCTCACTGACTTGGGAGATTTTCATTTTTGCTTTTAAGTTTTTCCCCTTTTTCACCTTTGGCTGAAAACACACACACACACACACACATCATTACCATTTACTTGACTTGCAGAAATGCACACAGCCCAACACAAATTAAACTCTACTTGCTTCTCCTTCCTATTTTCAGCTTTATCAGCATGTTTGTTTTTATGGGATCTCTTTTGCACCTGTTTTTTATGTTTCCTTTTTCTTCTTATTTTTCTTTCCTTTTTCGCAGTTAACTGGTGAAACAGTAGGGGAGGTGAAAGCAGTTGCAGATATGCACCAAAGGAAAGCTGAGATGGCAAGGCACTCAGATGCTTTTATAGCCTTACCAGGTGTTGTTTAATGGCCGCTTTCCAAAATTGCCTTAAACTTAGCCTTTTATGAACACTATGACCTGAGAAAAAATTGCTACTTTTTCTCATTTTCTGATGCTATGGAGATTTTCAGAGCTCGTGATTTTTATCATTTCTCACTATTTATTCCCCTCAGAAAATTGCTGATTCCATTACATACTTAAATGCAAGAAAATGTAAAGTTCTCTCTTTTTCTTTTTTTCCTTTTCTTGATTCAGTATAAGTTAGCACTATTTATGGCAAACCGTAGTACTGAGAAAGCAACAACAGTCTGATACTTTTGGTCACAATCCCCAATGACCCATCATAATAGAAGTGCTCTTTAGAGGTCCCCTAATTTCTTTTGACCCATTATTATCATCTATATGCACTAAATATTAGGGAGTAGCCTTGCAAAAAATTCTTATAGTAGCTGCTTCTCTGTAATAATTTAGTCCATTTATTTAAGATGGGGGTAAAAACTGTTCNGCTCATAATCTCCAAAAATTAGTTCTATAATTTGCTTATTTGTGCAAATTGGCGCATATAAAACGTGTATTTTTTTTTTCTTTTCGATTATTTGTATAGGTGGTTATGGAACTCTAGAGGAATTACTTGAAGTCATAACTTGGGCTCAGCTTGGTATCCATGATAAGCCGGTATGTTGTTCTTGATCTTGGACACTCAACAAGTTTTAATATTTTAATTGAAATTAGCTAATGGCAATTTTTTTTGTTTTATATAAATTTATGAGAGCTAATGGCAATTTTTTTTTTTGAAGGTGGGATTGTTGAATGTTGATGAGTATTATGACTCGTTGTTATCGTTCATCGACAAAGCCGTGGAGGAAGGGTTCATCAGCCCAAATGCTCGCCACATAATCGTATCAGCACCGACTGCAAAGGAGCTCGTCAAGAAATTGGAGGTAAAAAAATTACCTTAATTACCACTTCAAAACTAATTTGGCAAAAATTAAGAATTTGAGTTTGCTTAAATCTCCCCTTTGCTGCTCATTCACAGGAATATGTCCCGCGTCACGAGAGAGTTGCTTCGAAACTGAGCTGGGAGACCGAGCAGTTGGGCTATCCTCAAAAATATGATATCAAAAAGAAAAATGGATTTGCTGCATAATATATATATATAAATAGATTCATCTTTAGGTGTTGGAAGTTGCTATTTGAAAAGGCTAACTAGGGAACTCTTTAAAATTTTTGTCGCGAGGGAAAATCTTTTTTTGTAAATTCATCCGGGACTGAGCCCCTTTTCGTGTTTTTTTTCCCGCGCTTTTTCGAACTTGTGATTTTTGTTGTTTGCAAGTTGTAACTAGTGAAAATGCAGTGATGTAATTTTTCCTCTACTAATGGAAAAAACCGACTATTCTGCGTTTTTACGCTTTTTGCCGCACAGGAACTTCATTTTTTGGTGCAAAATTGATGGGCAGCCAAACATTTAAAATCATTTAACATTGTCAAATTCATAAAATTTTAGAGGTCATCTGTTTCCATAACTCAGAAAAAAATCATCCTGTTGAAAAAAGAGAGGCAGATTATGGGCTCACATTCTCCTAGTCAATAATTTTTATTTTTATTTTTAAATATAGAAAAGTAAAGAATTAAATGAAGCAAGATGATGAAGAGTAGCCTGGACCTGCAGTGCTGGTTAGTAATGGCTATATACTGGCCAGCAGAAGATGGACCAGCTCTGTACCACAATCAAGAAACAAGAGTAAATAAGGGGCCATTTTTTCTGTTAAAAACATGTTTCAACTTTTTTTTTTTCTTTTTTCATGCCACTTTTGGGTTAAATTTTTGTTCAGGCCATGATGTCAAAAAAACAATCATGCCTTCAATGCACTCTACTCTAATTCATAGAAACTTCAACTGGGAAAATTCAAAATCAGACTCAGTTAGGCAATTATACCAAATCCATTCATGATCAAAGGGCTGTGCTTCCAAGACAAGAAAAAACGAGCTTCCTGTCGATCGTCTTTTGCAAAAACGAGCTTTTCTGAGTTTAATCCCGGTTAGTAACGTGGCCCTATATACGCCATGCACAGACACACTATTAATATCAGACACAACTTACCATATAAGAACAAACCAAAGCAAGGGACCAAAACAAGTATAATATATCTTTGGGATGATGAAGACAGCACCAGAACTGTACCTAATTCAAAGTGTTATCACAAAGTCAGATAATGTTATGGGGTGCAAAAGCAGCAAAGGGCAAAATGGGCCATGCCTGCATGTGCTCTCAAGATTTTTTTTTGAGGACAAAATAATAGGCTAGTTATGGTCCCCCCCCAAACCCAAATTGGACAATGATCAGTCGACGGATGAGTGTATTCGAGTTCAATGTACCCGTAAGCAAAACGTATTTTTTTTAGTTTCTTTTTATAAGGAAAAATGACAAATGAGATCAATACATGTGTAATATCTTCACGTCTGTTCGTAAAACCCTATCGTATAAGCTCGGCTAATGTATTACGCATTTGAGAATTTAGACTCGATGCGTTTATAGATCTCGCGATATAGACTATAACCAATGAGGGGTCCACTCGAGCTGTTTTTTCTCGTTTGCCGCATGTTTCGACTAATGCTGTTACAGATCTTCAAGTATAAACAAATAGATGCTATAAGTTTCAAATGGCCAAGAAACAAACAGAAACCAATCAAGAAAACATTAAACTCGACAATGATTTAAAACCGATCGCATGCAGACCACAAACAGGCAAATACCGAACCCGAATGAAAATTGTTCAGAAACAGCAACGAAAAACGATGAATGCAGAACGTAAACAAACATCTCCACAAAAACCACAAAACAGTTTTTNTTTTTTCCTTTTTTACCCCCAAGAAACTCCTTCAGCACCCTAATTCGCTGTTTTCGTAATGCTTATTAGCAGGCTTCGACTCTGCCCTGCTCGATTTCCTCCTGCAGAATATGTTCCAACTCCTTCTACTCTTTCCCATCTTCTGAAACTTCTCCTTCATCCCCTGACACTCCTTCTCCAGCTCACACAACCTCTCCCTCATCTCATCAATGCTTGTAATCCTCTCCTGGCCCTTGGAAAGCCCCGGCCCATAACCCACATTCTGCGACCCATCCAAATTTTCCGAAACAAACAGCCAGCTAGAGATTGATGTTCGGAGCCGAAGCTGCTCGAAGAAGAGCACCTGAACAATCACCCTCAACGGCAATCGCTCGTTTTGCGCCGCATGCGTACTCGCCTCCAACGACAGCTTCTGAAAATTCATCAGCCGGCAAACTTGCTCTCTTTCCGAATCCGTCAGCCACGGATGTTCCTACACACAACCAATTTTCCGATAAATCACGAAAAAAAATCACATTTTTAAACANAAAAAAAAACGAAAAATCACCTTGAGAAAAATATCGATGGCTCGATAAATCCCGTCCGAGAGCGGCCTCGCGTAGTCCGGCACAGCCGCAGCCAGCGCCTGAAACTTGGGAAACTTCAAGTTAACATCCGGCGCCACCTCAGCGAGATACGAGTCGACCAAATTCGCCACCATGGTCAATGCGGTCAACGTGTGGGTCCCCTCGACCAGCTGCTGCTGCTGTCCTTCCTCCTCCTCCTCCTCGACAATGCACGGCGACGCCTGCTCGACCGACAAGAAATGATCCAAAATCCTCTGAAAGCAGTCCACGTCGTACAACGTCTCGACCGAGTAACCCAAATTCGGCACCAGCAAATCCTCGAGCGAAGCTCGATCAAGCTCCAACCCCACCCTCCTCTCCAGACTCTCCCGACACGCGGGCCCCACTTGGAGCACCATCGCCGTTTTAAGCAGCCGGAGCAAAAATCGAGTATGCAAGACACCCTTCTGCGCCGGGAGGAGTTCGACGATCTCCTCGAGAAGCGCGCGCTGGTCGGACTCCGACGGGACGGAAATCGTCGACGACGACGAGCTTGGGTTCTTGAAGCTCGATTGGCGGTTCATCTGCGGTATGTACTTGTTGGCGTAGAAAACGAGCGCCCGGGCCACGCTCTCGGCCCGCATCCCCCCTTCCTCCACGGCCCGTATCAGCCTCTTGTAGAGCGGGAGGCTGAGGAACGAGACATCCTCGTACCACCAATCGTGGGCCGGCATCGAATTTTTGGAGGGCGGCGGTTGGGGGCAAATGCCGTTCCAAGCGGCGCGGTGGTCGACGGGCCAGCCGAAGGAGAGGGTGGGGTCGGAGCAGGCTTTGACGGCGAGGGAGTTGATGCATCGGGAGACGATGTGGAGGTGCTCGGCGGGACGGAGGACCTCTTCGCAGGTCTCGAGGGCCTTGATGGTGTCGGTCCAGCTGGCGAGGAGGTCGTTGAGGAAACTCTCGGTTTGGGAGACGAGGTTGGAGTCGCCGTAGTCTTCGGTCATGGCGAGGTGCTCGGCCGCGCAGCGCAGGGAGACCACGTTCATTGAGGTCAGCTCGATTTTCACGCCGTAGCAGAATTTCGCGACGAGTTCGAACGATTTGGCGCCGCCCGGGAGGTCGCTGAGCTGGACGACACACGGGCCGCCGCCGGAGGAAACCTCGCCGCCGATCAGCTTCTCGAGGAGGCCGCTCCTCGAGAGGAGGGGAAACTAAAATTTAAAAAGAAAATATTTAATTTATTCGTGTTACTGTTGTTTTTCGATGAAATGTTGGAAACTGACCTTGTGGAGATGAAAGGACATTTCGCCGATTTCGACGGTGACATCGCTAGGGAGGCCGGAAGTGCAGTGCCTGAAAAAAAAAAATGAAAATGACGGGTTTTTAGTCTAATGGTTAGGAGGGTCGACGAGAAAAGAATGGGGTTTTGTTTGTATGTTACCAGTTCTGGCCTTGGAGGTGGAAAGCTTCGGATTTGGAGCCAAGTCTCATGCAAGCCATTCAAGAACTTAT